CGGCAGCCCCCTCCCGCACATCTCGGCCCAGGGCCGGGCATGGGGGTCTCTCCCCAAATTCCCCACTGGTCCTAGACGCTCTCCGCTCTCCGCACAGGCGGCGGCGCCTGGCCGGGGCCCCCTCCCTGCGCGGAGGTAGCGGGGGATAAGCCCGAGGTGGTGGCGAGAGAAGGGGAAAAAACCGCCTTGCTTCTTCGAGAAAATGAAAGTTCCCATCCGCCAGCATGATATAAATCTGCCGGATAGGAGCGATATTAACTTGCACGCTCAACTTTCCTTCACCCTGATGTATGAACTTCCCGGTTTAAAAGATTACAGTAATCACGGGAGGAGAGTGTAAATCGAATCTGATAGCAATAACTTTTGGGGAAGGTCAGGCTCAAGTGAAATGTTACCAAGCAACAGGCATTTTCTTTGCAAAATACAATCAAAGTGTATTGATGAGAAATCCTTCCTTGCCAGCCAGTCAGCACTTTCTGATAATAGCTTTACGGAGCGAAAAAACAAACAAACAAACTACAGAACATAACGGAGACCTCCATAAATCAAGGCCGTCGGCGTTGTGCCTGCCCCCGTCCCCGCCCGCGGTGAGGCTGGGCTGGGGGGACCGGGGCACGCCGGCACCACCGGGGAGCCTTTCTGGTCACTCAGACCTCACCCGCGTGTCCCCCGTCCCTGACTGTCACAGACGGCTTTTCCCCCCCACTTTTTATGAACATGAGAATGCGTGAGAGCAAAGTGGAAGATGGTCTCCTTAGGGGTTCCTGCTGCCACCTTCCACCAGACACTGTTTAACCACATGACTTGCTTATTTCCAATTATCCTGCGTGCTCTGAGCAACAGGCTTTTCTCTTTCCTCTCTTCCATTAACTGTATTAAAATCGCCGTAAAAACAGAGGATAAACCTCCTGTCCACCCAGTTTCTAAAGCACACACACAACCCCTTCCTCCCCGTTATTCTCATGAAAAGTTTTTCACTGCCAAAGGGATATTTCCCGATGTATGGTAAAATCAGATCTGTCTGCTTCTGTTCCTGCTACAATCGGCCATTTCAGTGGGACAGTTGCGAAGTTCTAAAACTACCCTTGTTGCATTACCCTTGTTGCATCTGCCTCTGCTAACCTGGAATGATTCCTCCTTCTGATATCGTGCTCATGAACTTTCCCTGCCCACAGGAGTGCGTGTTATATTTGTCTTAGTAGTAGTTACCAAGATTTGTAAATATAATGCCTTATTCGTTGTCTGATATTTTCAGTGCCAGCTTCTTAATGCAGTGTATCTGTCTCTGTGTTAATTTGAGAACAGTGATTAGTCTCCTACAGAGTATTTAGATCTTCGAATATAGGGAAGAAAGTCTGAAGTGAAAGTAATTAAACCCAAAACCTAAACAAAGCCCTAACAACAAAATCTGGCTAACAAACACCCCGCTTTCCAAACAGACAGCAAAAGTAAAAAAATCAAACCCAAAGAAAACAAAAAAGCCCCCACCAAAAGCATAGCCTTAGCTTTATGTGCAGTTATGCTAGTTCTGTATCAGCCTGTCCTAATAATACAACTAAGGAAAAGAGCAAGTACTTTCAAGATACAAGAAAATCTGTTCAGAAAAGAGCTGCCCTAAAAATCAAAGAACAAGCTGTTTTAACAGGAACTCAGCAGTGGGATATCGAAGAAGCAAAATTGAAATTTGGTTCCAAAATATTAGAACAAGTTTTCCAGACAAGTAATTAACTTAAACAGCTTTTCCCTCTCATCTATTTTACTTGTATTTGGCCACTTTACAACATTTGACCCATGATTATTAATGTATAGATAGCCAAGAAGAATTGTGGTAAATATTGTGCTGAATTAGTATTGTATTTTACTGGAAATGCATGTACGGTTCTCCCACTGTTCTGTTTCATGTGTATCTGAATTTGCCCATCATCTCTGATCTGGGCTGGTGTCTCTCCCTGCATGTGTATTATTTGATGAATGCTCCCCATCTTTTATATCAGTAGGAAAATAGTTTCCTTAGTTTTCCCAGGAATCACAATGCTGGATACTTAAATGCAGGCAATTTGAAATAGAAGGTGTTGGGGGAAAAAAAGCCTCAACACAGACATACACACACACACACACACACACACACACACACACACACACACACGCACACGACAAAATAACCCCCCCATAAAAAACAAAACAAAAATCCAACCCCAGAGCCACACAAAGAAACAGCCCTCCCAAAACCAAAAACCAACAGAAAGACAAAACAAACACCGCCGTCCCCAAACCCCAAAATAAGCAAACCAAACAAACACCGCCACCACCAGAAATACAGCAAAAATCCTCAGAGCTCACACAGGACAAAAATATAACAACCAAAGGCCCAAAAACGTAAAAAATATCTGAGGATGAGATTTCTTTCTTGAAACCGAGAATATCCTCATGTAAAACGTATGAATTATGAAAAGGAAAAAAGCTTTGGTAGAGAAGCAGTAGGTTGTGTGTTACAAATGCAAAATTATTTTTATACCTGAAAATACAAGCATTTGTAATTAATACATGCATATAATATTCCTAAAATTCAGTGTCCACTTGGAGACATTTACAATGTATCTTCGCAATTTTTTGTTTATTTGACGATGACTATTCTGCATCTTCACAAATTTTTGTTTATTTGACGATGACTATTTTTGGGCCAGTTTTAAACGAATGAAAATCCCGGTGGTGGCGGTTCCCACGAAGGGTTGGGGACAGTCCCCGGAGCACGCTGATCGTGCCCGAGCCTTCAGCGTGGCGGGAAGGGGGTGTTGAAAGCAGTTAAAGCGCAGCCCCCAGCGAGGGCAGCCCCAGGGCCGGCCAGGTGAGCCGCCCGCTGCCGTGCGACTTTAAAATCAACAAAATCTCGTTTTCCGCGTCTGTCCCCGGGAGTGTGGCAGCCCAGTGAGACGCGCCGCTGTGACCCGTGCTGTATGAGGAGACTGCCCCTGTGCTAAAGCGCAGAGTCAGCATCTGTGCGGTCTGCTGATGGTAAAGAGGCAAAATTCAGTGGGATGAGTTTTCAGAATCTGATGAAAATTTTTTTAGGCAAGCCTCACAAGGATATTTTTAAGAATACAGAAAATGAATCTGAAATATCCTGAAAATAACATTTTGTAAGCATCAGGGAATATATTTGAGATACCTCACCTGATCTGAGGGTGTTTGTTTGTTGGTTGGTTCGTTTTTTAAATTAACATATATTTTCTCCACAGCGTTACTTGCTCTCATCCTGTAAAGATACACTGTAAACGTGAGCATGAGGTAATTCTGAAATGCTTTCTCCTTGCTTTCAGTCTGTTTGGTAATATGGTAATATAGTCACCACAGTACAATTTATTTATGTGAAAATTAAGGCTATCATCTTCCTTAAACAGCTTCTCTAACTCTGTCAAGATAGGGACAAGGTATTTTAATGTCCTCAGACTGCCCACTAAGCCTTGGACATGTAAATATTCACCAAGATTTGTAATAAATGCATAGTGAAGGGATTAGAAGGGAAAGGTAGCTTGAGTCTCACATTTTCTCAATAAAGGGTGAGCTATGCCAGTATCTTAGCGCCTCCTCAAAAGGATGCACACGCCAGTTTGCTATCGGCAAGAAATTCCTGCATTCTGCTTTGGCTGCTAATGCTGATTGATGCGCTGAACGTATGAGAAAGAGGAAATGTACGTGGCCTCCTCACTAATATAGAACGTGCAGAGTTACTGCTTTCCTGTTTACACTCAACAGGCAGCTTAACCAGTGTAAAAAACAGTTCCCAAAATGTGTTATCCTGCTGAAAGGAGTGAGGTTTTTGTTAAGAGCATCTGTACTCCTCAGCTACACACTTACCTTCCACAGCCCAAATCAGCAGCATCCCAAATCTCTTAGGATGGCCCATTGTTTCTGCCAGGCACAGCCATCCTCATGAGGAGAATCTTCCTTTGCCATGCTCAGACGCTGTCAGGCTGTGCTCTGCCAGGATCTCTTTATTTATAACTCCCACTGTGGTGAGCATAGTGGCTTCTTGCTCAGCTTAGGCTGGCTCAGACCCTGACTTCTTTCTCTCTATTGGATAAATTCCATTAATAGTCTTTTTTTAATGCTGATCTGTTAAATGTTAAACTTAGCCCACTAACTGATGAGAAGATGCCATGCCTGTTCCTACAGTGAGAGGAAGGCCGGAGATGGTGAGCAGTGAGGCTCAGGTGCTTGCACACCTCTAACAGGTTCCATCTCAGTTGGGCAGGTGGGATCATCAGAACATTTTAGGAACCTTTGCTTGCTTCTTACAGTAACTTTATCTAGTTGGGGTATTTGTCAGGGGCTTGGAAAAGTAGCTGTATTTTTTTTGTGGATAGTCCTTCTCATTTGTGCATTCAAAAGCACTACCCTGTGTGGCTAAAGTAGACTGTCAGCCACAGCTTAGACAACAATCCTCTCCCCATGTATTGATGCTTCCCAAGAATGTAAACACTGTGCTCAATGAGGAAAGCCAGCAGAACTGTGTTCTTGGGAAATAACGATGTACAATCTCAAGCAAATACATTGATCCTCTTTTGCATAAGCAAGCATCCTTCCCTTCTGCTTGCTGACAAGCAGTCTTATTTCAAAGGGTTCCCTACTCGGGTCAGGCGTTACCAAAGAGTTTTGAGCGTCCATCTGGAGACAGCATGGTCAATGGGCTTGTTTGCAGCTCCATACTCAGCTCTCATCCTTCTTAGTTCAGTACACAGAAAGCAAGGTACCTGGAACAATTGCTAAGAGAGGTTGTGGGGAATAATTCCTCCTCCTTGAAATTGTTTAAAACTCAGCTAAGCAGCCACATGAGCAACCTGCTCTTTGTCTAAGGCTGCTCCCAGTTTGAAGAAGATGTTGGACCAAATGACTTCCAGATGTCTTCTCTAAACCAGACTTTTCTAGAATATCTGCTTTGATGGGACAAGCATCAGACATCCTTAACGGTTTAAAGGAAAAGTTGCGATTCTTGCTGTGGGAGGAGCTGATTTCTGTGGGAGAGACCAGTTTCTTCAGAACCGGAGTACATTTATTTATTTATTTGAAGACTTTTTAAACCTTCAGACTGTAGTCATAATGGAGTGGTTCCATCAATGCTGTTGGAGCTGCAGAGGAATTTTAATTTCCTAAGTGCCCTCTTCAGCTCACAGACAATGAGATGGTGCTAGTGAGGATTATGATGTGAAAGTGCTGAAGTTCCTCAGAGAAATCTTTCAGTTGGGTGGTGTGTTACTGCCTTGTAACCAGTGAGAAAGGATAGATGTAGCACTTTTGATGCAGCAGAAAAATGATCACATTCTTTGCTTGCACATGGGAGAATGAGACAGAGTATGTCTAGATCAGATCACATTATCCTTTTCCAGATTTATTCTCATGACGTGTTGCAAAGATACCTTAATTTTTGCAGGATTTCTGAGAAAAAAAGCACTTTTCCGCCCTTAGAGTACTGGTCTGTTAAGTTTAAGAAGACAGCATCCTCAAATCTCTGTGAAAGCTTTTGGCCTCAGTTTTCTGTTAACTTCTCTGACTTCTTTTTGCAGATGTGAATGAGGAGCGGCTGGGTGATGCAAGTGGAGCAGACAATGCTGAGACCTACAGTGACAAAGACACAGACCAAAGGAGTTCCCCAGACATGACCAAATCAAAAAGTTGTTTCAACCCTGACAGCCCTGAAATTGTTTCAGTGGATGAGGTTGGTTTTGCAGTTCAGAAAAATGGTGGGAGCACAGAGAACCGTCCAGAGAGCCCCAAGTACCACCCAGAGCAGAACCACCTCCTGATAGAAGGTCCTTCTGGGACAGTTTCTTTACCATTCAGTTTGAAAGCAAACAGACCCCCACTTGAAGTCTTGAAAAAGATTTTCCCTAACCAAAAGCCAGCTGTGCTAGAGTTGATCCTGAAGGGGTGTGGTGGTGACCTGGTGAGTGCTGTAGAGGTTCTCCTGTCCAGCCGGTCTTCAATGGCCAGTGGAGAGAGAACTTCTGCAGAATCGGATGGTCTTGTTTTGCCTTCCAATGGCCATCTTTTTGAACACACACTGAGTTCTTATCCTATTTCATCTTCCAAGTGGTCTGTGGGCTCGGCATTTAGGGTTCCCGACACTCTGAGGTTCTCTGCTGATTCCAGTAATGTTGTGCCAAATCCTCTAGCCGTACCTTTGCAGCACCCCTTCCCTCAGCCACCACGCTACCCGCTGATGCTGAGGAACACTTTGGCAAGAAACCAGTCCAGCCCATTCCTGCCCAACGATGTCACCCTGTGGAACACCATGACATTGCAGCAGCAGTACCAGCTGCGGTCCCAGTACGTCAGTCCTTTCTCTGGCAACTCAGCCACTGTTTTCCGAAGCTCGCCTGTCCTTCCTTCCCGCTCATCAGAAGATCCTAGGATTTCAATTCCTGATGACGGATGCCCAATTGTGTCTAAGCAACCAATTTACACAGAAGATGAATATGAGGACAGGTCTGATTCTTCAGACTCAAGAATACTCAACACATCTTCTTAGACTGACGTTTGACACGTGACAGCTAAGCGATACTCACAGTGCAGCTGAACTACTGGTCCCTTAGAGGAGGGACATGTGCTCCACGAAACTCTTGCAATTGTATTCAAAAGTTGCTTGGTATTGTACTATAGCAATAAAGACATAACTTATTTAATTTCTTGCACTTCACTGGATAATGCCAAATAGCAATACTCTGGCTTTAGTGCTGAGTGTGTGTTGCAAAGGAAGACTTTATGGCTGCCAGTTATGGGACTCTAGAAGACTCATAATGGAAACAGAAGCCCAAGGTCTACTTTGTTCCTTAACTCAGAAAAATGGGGATGTTAAACTAGAATACTTGAATGCTGTTTTATAATTGAGAACTCCTCAGGACATAAGAAATCAAGCAAACATAGTTCAATTGCAAATGGACTAAAACAAGGACCTTATAGTCTTATGCCAATGATCATCCTTGCAGTGAAAGAAAAGGCAGAAGAAAGAAATACACACATGCAACTAACATGAGCTGCTTCTGTGCCGTTTGAGCTTGGACACTTTTCAGAGAAATATTATTAAGAGTTATTCTTTTCCCATGGCTAGGTCGAAATGTGTAATGTCAGTGTAAAACCAATTACAGCTGTGAATTGCATGAAGTGTATTGTGAAATGAACACCAGATTAAGCATTGTCAGGTTAATGTAGCATGCTAAGGACTCTAGAAAAATAAACTAAGATGATGATCTTGGTTTATGTAATTTATACTGGGCAAATAACATTCTGAAGATAGAGAGCTGATTAGTTCTCAGCCGGGGTTAAAATGTCCAGCTCCAGCAGCTGCAGTCAGGGGGAACCTCTTTTTCCACGTCTCGGTTTTGCTTCCCTAACTTGTAACTTGCAACTGAGATTAGGCAAAAGCTTTCATCAGGGAAGCTGAGGTCTCTTGTATTTGTACTGCAGATATTTCCAAGCTCAGCTGAGTAAAGCAGAGCTTGCTACAATCACAGAAAGCAGAAAACAAAACGCTCTCCCAATGCTTCAGAAGCATATTTTTTTTCCTATTCTGTAGAAGTAGAAAAGAACCAGAAATAGGATGTAATAATGGGCATTTCTTTAAAATAATTTTTAGCCAAATGACAACTCCCCTTTCCCCCTAGAAAAGTAATGGTTTGAACAATTTATTGCATGATTGCATGCGTTGATTACACTGCATATCTTATGTGTGTCTGAGTAACATTAGGAATTGCTTCTGATGAGGAATGCCTCTAAGTTTAATGTCCGCTTAGAAGATTGTTAAGCTCATAGTGTCATTTTTTCAACTGTTCACAAGTGACTATGTACGCTTGACAATTGACTTTTTACAAAACACACCTCTGAATGCAGATGAAATGTCTCTTTGGTCTTTCAGGTCTGGGGATTAGTCCCACACCTCAAAAAAAGGTGAGGCCACCCTGAAGTCGGACTCTGAAGCAGATGGGCTTTAAAACTGTTATATAAGTGTATCAGGCATGTTATCTGGTGTCATTGTTGATACAAATGCCTGTGTTCTCATTTGGCATTTCATGTTTTGTAAGTCTTGTGCACATGATGAATCTTTCATTTTATAAAGGTACTGAATACGCACAAAAAGGAGAATAAAATAATGACTTTATTTTCCTTCGGGGATAAATTAACTGAAAGATACTTTATCTTGCATAACTTTCCAACCTGTTCAGAGAAGCATTTTATTGATTATGCTATGAAGACATAAAAGCAGGGGAAGGGAGGAAAAAAAATGAATTCACTTATGGAAACATAAATGTGCAAGCATCTGGAGTTTCCCTAAATGCAGGGTTTCAGTTGTGTGCTGACAGATTTGCCTGCATTCACATGGCATTTGTGAACAATTCATCTTACAGCCACCCCAGAGAGAAAAGTAATATGTAAAATAGGTCTTGCAAGGAGAAAGGCAGGTGGCAGTGAAGCGCTGTGCTCTGACACATTTCTGAGAAGTTGTCAAAGGCTAGATAAGAGCAGATAGGCCCTGGAGCTCCAGTTTTGGGCAGATTTCCTGCCTGCAGAAATCTTAGGCATCCCCTATACTTTAAATTAAATCTTAGTGGAGATTTTTTGTTTGTTTTGCTTGTTTGTTTGTGTGCTTGTTTTGCTACAGATATTGAATCATCTTCACAGAAAGATCAAACTGTGATACCTGCAAAAGCTCATACCCTCTGTGGTCTGTGGGTTTTCAGAGAACTGAATTTTGGCATCCTGGCATTGGGACACATCTTTCAAAGAAAGATGACCCTTGGCTAACATGGAATGAACTATTATCACACTTGTGGTGAAAAATGCAAATTTGACTGTATGATTTTTAAAATTCCATCTCTTTTGACAAGCCATTTTTCTGAAAAAAGAAACAGGTTAAAATAATCCTTGTCTCTTGTGTTATAAAATAACTCTTGACTCAATCGACAAATACTTTTTTTCCTTAAATTAAGTAAATATATCTCTGTTCGAAATAAGAAATGCAAATTTTCATGTTGAACACTAATTTTTGTTTGACTGCGACGGCTCCTGAGCCTTGCATTTCCCTGGTCCATCTTGTGGCAAACAAGGGTATGTGCTCGTCCGAGCAGGTACTTCGTGCTGAGCTAGAGAGCGCATCGGGATGGGGAGGGTTGAGGCTGGAAGGATTGATGCTCAGAAACACCCCGAGTAAAGAAAAGAAAAAAAAATTTCAAACATCAATAAGGATGCTTTGAGCCTGGTGAGGTCTCTGTAGGATCTCGGAGTCCAACGGGTTGTTGGGTTTTTTAAGGGTTTTTTAAAGTCTTTTTTTGGGCACTAGTGCAGCTGTGGCTTTCTTGGAGCAAGAGACCTTCAGCATCGAGCCTTCTGCACAGCTTCTGCCCCTGTCTGAGCAGCCCCTCAGGAGCCTCTTTTGGGTGCCCCAGGACTGCTTTTTCTCCTGTCAGACGCGTGATTTCACTGTCAGCTCTCTGGGAAATGCCACAGAAAGCTCTCTCTGCTCACAGGTCGTCTTGTCCAAGTCTGAGCCCCACCAGACACCTGTGCAGTGGGCTCTGCAGAGGCTGGCAGCTGCTCCAGAGGCACATTGCCCAAATCCCCACTAGCTGACCTCTAGCTGTGGCAAGGTGGTTAAGGCCAACAATGATGTAAACCATAACAATAATAATTTCTTCCTCAAAAGGAATGCCGTGGGGAGCCCGAGTGTGATGCTCACATTCTCCAGTATCTGTCATACCCATAGATAAGGGAATAGTCAGAGGGACAGCAGGGGTAAGCACAGCACAGTGGGGATGTCCTGTGTCAAACTATCCCTTGCCTTGTCCCTGCTGGTGTCGTGCTGCTTTTCTGGGGGTCCCTGACTTACCCTGCCTGTGGGTCTGAAGGGCCACCTCTGCAATATTTGTTATATGCTTGGTGAACAGGCTCACCTCACATTTGTGCTGACATCTTTGAAAAATGACTCTGATTCTCTCAGTATACTGTTTCAGTGATTCATTCTTTATGTGCATTTACTCAGCAGACGTGAGTGGGGAAATAAGATTTATGCTAAATTTATATGTTAATTTTAATATTGAAGCTATCCTGTATTTGAAGAATAAGATCAATTCTTCAATTTCATTTCTTACGTGATATTGCATATTGTCATTACTGGAAAATAAAATTATTTCTGAATGCATACTATCTAAACTTCAATTTTAGTGGACATTTAACTTTGACGCATCATTCTTCTCCCTTCCCTATAAAAACTAACTTAATGCAATATTTAACATTTTCACACCAGTCTGCCACTGGAAGGTAACAAAGATGAGACTTTTTACCCTAAATTATGTTTCATTAATGTGCTCCCTGCAACATTTCTGCACTGTCACAGACTTCACACCTGACTCAGTGTTGCATGCATACTACAGTAGGAATCTTAGTTAATGGCTGTGCTCCTCACTGGAGATTAATTTCATTAATTTCCACGTTAGCAGCAGTTCTTGAGAGCCATGGCCACAGCTGTTCACTAAACCTGCCTGTACAGAGGACAAATCCTAACCTTAAGTGCAGAATCCAGCCCTTAGATCATGTAGAGGATGGATACAGAGAATCACATGTACAGAAAGATTTAGCCTCTACAGAGGGAGATATATTTTCAAGAGGCCTCCTGCCAGAGACTGTGCTCTCCTGAAGCTGCAACAGAAAGAAAATATTTACAGCACCTTAGGAGTGTGGTTTGCCACTTTATCTCTTTGCAAGCTGTGCAGGAGATAAAGCTGAGAGATAGACAGGAGAAACCTTTGCAAGGTTACATCCTTGCTCTGCCCTACAGCCTGAGGAAGAATTTTCCCTCCCTGTGAGATAAGGATAACAATTTAATTGTCTTTACTTGAAAATTCGCAAAGAGTTTAAGTGTTCTGTAAGTAAGAGAGTAGACATAGTGTTTACCAGATGATATAGGTAAGATTCTCTTTCTGGTTTTTTCTCTGTGAGAGTCTATAACTTTTCGTTGTCTGACCTGTGACTGCCTTCAGCAAGAATTGTCCTGAAAACCTCAGGATTATCCTTAGATAGTCCTGAGCAAACAACTGTTACAAAATGCCTGTAAGTTGGGAGACCTAAGGTAAACACTGTTTGGGTTCTTCCTGTCTCTTCTGAGTTTATGGACTTTATACATTCCCACTTTCTTCTCTGTAATACCTAGATAAAACCAGAAATCTTGTGACCAAATTGTACTAATTGCCTTTTTCCCCCTGCTCCCCGAGTGTCAGAGGACACATGAATCAGCAAAAGGTTGGGGAAAAGTGAGAAAGCAGAATTCAAGGCACAAAGAAATTGATTTATTCTTCCAGGACTCGTACGTCTCGTGCAGGCTCAGGAGGAGCTGGTCTTCCCTCCTGTCCCTGGGGAGGCTGAGCCCACCCTGGCGCTCAGGCCAGCAGTCTGATCTCAGCTTGGGGCTGCAGCCCCCCAGCAGTGGGCACGCACCCACAGGAGGAAGGCAGTGAGCAGTGTGGCAGCACAGCTGTGACTGTGAGGGTGCTTGTGGTCACTCATAGAAGCTTTCCTGCTTTGCTGCATGCAGCACAGCTCAAACCCAGTTTTGGAAACATCTTTCTTTGCAGCCTAGTCCCTCTGCACATTGCTGACATTCCTTTTTGCCATGGTGAGTATAAGCTGGGAAGAGTGAGAGATAAAATTCACCATACACAGAAAAATATAAAGGAGACATTGAAATACTCAGAAACACTTCTGTGCTACTTGTCAAATCTGGATTTTTTTATCACTTTATCACATATAAGAGCTAAATGACTAATGTGACAAGAGATGTAGAAGCAATCCTCACAGGCCATTGTACCTGAGGGAGAACTGTGCTAAAATTTTAAGTTTCTCTGCCTCTGCACATTAATATCCTGACTCATTAGGAATGGGTCCCTGAAGGGTGCTTGCAGCTGTTCACATTGCACAGATAGCAACTTTCCTGGGAACCAAAATCAGTTGGTTCTCACCTTGAACATGCATTTTTCTCTAGTAAAGTAAGGATAATGCTCAATGGCTGGTATGGCTACATATTCTATGAGTAAAAAAACAACACACTCTCAAGAGAAACATTCCTAAATTACAGAAAAATATTCTACATGGCTCCATCCTTACTCCAAACCCTCTTCAGGAGACTTTAATACCCTTCACAGATTTAACCCACTCACAGCCCAGTTATTACATTTTAGACCATGTGACTTAATCACTAGTAGAGTTATGGTCATCTGTGTGTAAGTTATGAATTTTCCTCCTTGCTCTTTCTCCTGTAATTACTTTTTTTCTAATGATCTGCAGAGATATAAACAAAAGGAACATTTGGCTGCATATATTTTTCTTCTTTATCTCCATTGCCAAATAATCAATTTTCAGGAAAAGGATGGTATGAGGGAGTGTTTAATGTATTTTTAATTATTTTCAAAACCTTTACAAAACTAAAGTGGTAAGTTTTCTAAGGCTCCAAAGGGGAGAGACCATTAGTTTAACTTACCCACACATATTTCCTTTGCCAATTCTCACCTATGTTGGTGAGAACACCCTACAGGAAACTACGGCTACAGCTCTTGTACACAAGTGGGAACTGGGCTGGATTTGGGGCTGTTTGCAGAATTTTGAAACACATCAGGAGGGAGTGAGGGAGGGGGCCGGGTGGGGGGGGAAGGAAAGGATAATTTCTGACCTTCAATAGCTTCTGGGCAGTGGGTCTTTCCCAGGCCCAAGCCTGAGCTATCAGAGTTTGTGCCCACATTGCTGTTGCCTTGAAAAGGGAACAGAGTGATCTATAGCAGAGCTAGGGGATGAAAGGAGCTGGTCTCCCTGTGCTGTGCTCAAGCCTCCCTCCTCTCCCAGAAAGTTCACTGCATGAGTTTTAGCAGACTTGCACGGTGTTTGTACATGAAAAGCTATGACCAATTCCCAGTTGAATGGCTTATTTTCTGACATAGAAAAACTCATGCAAACACCCTGCTTGTTGAATTAATTTTTGGCATTCATATATATCCTGATTTGGTCATCCCTGCTCTGCGTTGTTTTAACTGTTTATATTTTTTTCTGCTGTTCTCTTGTTCTGGCAGTAGAAGTAACTGTGGTAGTGGGTGTGGTGAGAGGCAGTACAATCACCACCGTTCTGCTCCTAATGGTTCTTCTCTGACCTCTCAGCTCCTTTGCAGCCCCATTCCTCCAGTGTTTTTCACACTTTCTGAAAATGCAGGTCAGCTAGTTACTGTAACCTGGTTTTAATTCACCTGCAGAAGATTAAAACTGCTGCCTGAAAGGACTCAAATTGCCTTTTTTATTTCACCAGTACCTTAAATAATCACTGGTGGTGAAGAACTGGTGACTGCAGCCATTCAGCCACAGGAGAAGTTATCTTCTTCCCCTTAAACTGGGAAAGCACAAGTTCAGGCAAAATTGTGAACTGTGCATAAAAGATATTTGAGAGTTCCTCGGGAAATAGGTTATATTTTTCCCTTCCAAATGTCTAGAATTGCGACTGTATTTGAATTCATCCCTCAGTTGAGATTAGAGGTGGAAAAAGTCTAATGACCGTAACGTACATTACTCAGACCACGTAACATATATTATTAAAACAAATGCCCAAAGTAAATGCTGCTGAGCACTACAAGACCCGGACATAAAGAGCATGGCCTTGTCTCCACACAGAAAAAGGCAGTCTGGCTGTATTTCAGCCGAGTGCTGGGGGGATTTGCAAGGGCTGGGGAGCCGCGATGAGTCAGGGCCGGGAAGGGGAGGGAGCTCGGCTCTGTCACCAGCCCTGTGCCTCGAGCCGATGGCCCCACCTAGTGACAGTGCGGGCACGGAGCGGGCACGGAGCGGGCACAGAGAAGGCACGGAGCGGGCACGGAGCGGGCACGGAGCGAGAACGGAGCGGGCACAAAAGGGGCACAGAGCGGGCACAGAACGGGCACAGAGCGGGAACAGAGAGGGCACGGAGCGGGCACAGAGCGGGCACGGAGCGGGCACAGAGCGGGAACAGAGAGGGCACGGAGCGGGCACAAAGGGGGCACAGAGGGGGCACAGAGCGGGCACGGTGCTGGAGGCCCGCGGGCGCCCACCGGCCCTAGCCGCGCCGCTGCTCTGTGACGTTGTGGCTGTGTCACGTTGTGGCTGTGTGATGATGCAGTGGCTGTGTGATGACGTAGTGGCCGGGTGATGACGTTGTGCCCGGGTGATGACGTTGTGCCCGGGTGATGTTAGAATGAGGAGGGTTGGGTCTGTCCCTCCCTGATTCTGCGCGGCGCTGGCACCTTGGCCCGGGCCCGGTTTGCCGTCTGCTCTGGGGCTCAGCTCAGCGGGCGGCAGGGCGGGTGTCTCCAGGACTCCTGCCCCCGGACCTGTCTTTTCCAACAAGAGGCAGGCACCACGGCAGGCATCGGCTTCACTGCGGCCTCTGCCCGCTCCTGGGCGGCATGGAGCTCCCAGGGAGGAGGGGGAGAGCCGGCAAGTTCCCTTTTGCCTTGCATGCATATGCATGCACGCAAACAGCTTCTCTCTGAAGCCCTCTCTCACAAAAAGTCAAAGATGTCAAAGGTATTTCTGTTATCCTATTTGACTGTGGAGGTGGGCCCAACAAATAAAGAAGGAATGCTTTAGGAAACCTGTTGTGGTTTAACCCCAACAGTCAAGAGCGTAGAGACACTTGCTCAGCCACCAGACCCCAGAGAGGAGGGAGAGCAGAATAAAAAGGGACATTGAGATAAGAGCAGCTCAAAAATTCAAACTAAACTAAACTAAACTAAACTGAACTGAACTACTATCACTGCTGACAATGATGATAAGAACAATAGTAACACTTGTAATGGAAAGGATGGGGGAGGGAGAAATGAAACCAAAGAGAAAAAGTTGCTCACCACCCGCTGACCAATACCCAATCTGTCCCCCAGCAGCAGTCAGCTCCTCTTGGACAGCTAGTCCCATTTGTATGCTGAGGGTGAAGTCGCTCTGTGGTACAGAGTATCCCCTTGGCTAATTTTGCTCACCTGTCCTAGCTATGCTTCCTCCCATATTCTTGTGTCCCTGTTCCTGGCAGAGCATAGCAATCTGAAAAGTCCCTCACTTAACACTAAGCACTCCTGAGCAATGACTGAAACATCAGTA